GGGAGGGGGGACGGGGATCAGCAGCTGCTGCTGTTTTGCAGTCGCTTCCCAGCATCTTTGATCCGCTTTGAAGAAGGTTTCCAGGAAAGTTGCAGATTTTTCCTGCCGCCGCCGCCGCGGTATCCTGTGCAGAGGGCAGGCAGGCCGTGCGCAGGCATCCGGCCTCCTCCTGCCTGCACTGCCCGTGGGGGATCGCACCCCGTGCTCCCCACTGCCCCCCCGGCTCGGGGGGCTGGGGAAGGTGCTGGCATGCGGCTTTCCAGATGAAAGTGCCTCTGCAAGGCAGCCCCCAGTCGTGTCAGGGCTCCCCAGGCTGCGGAGCCCGTGGGGGGACGGGACACCAGCCCCGTTGCCGCACCCCAAACCTGGTGGTCCCAAAGTGGAGACCCCAGCCCCGCAGCAGCTTGGGACAGGGAAGGGAACCGGGCAGAGCCATTCCCATGGCCCGACCTCAATGCAGCACCAGCCCTCAGCATGGGAAGGATTAATTATAGCCAGGAGGCTAATTGGAAAATGGGACAGGGGCAGGGTCTGCAGCGCTGGTGGGGCTGGACGCCCCATCGGGATCCCCGGTGACCCCGGGAGGCTGCAGGGAGCCCTTGGGGTGGGCTGCCAGAGAGAGCATCTGACCAGCGAAGTCAGTGGCACGCCAGGGTCCCAGGGTCAGGGGTCCGGCAGAGCCCCGGTAGCGTCCCCACGTCAGGGCCCAGGGGGGGGCCGGGGGTGACTCACCGTTATTTGCAGCTCAGGAAGGAAACGGCAGTAGCTGAGAATGGATTCAGGACTGACACCATCCCGGCCATCGCAGACGCTTCCCGGTCCCCAGGGACCGCGGCGCAGCCAGAAGGCAGGAAACAACGAGCAGCTCGAGGTCAGCGCCCGGCGTGGCCCCACACCTCGGCCCCCCTGGCCAGCCCCCCCCATCCCGGGCTGGGCATCCTGCAGAGCTGGAGGGGTCCCGGGCGCAGCCGGCCCCTCCACCACAGCCCAGGGCTCCCACGGGATGGGGACGGGGTGGCGATGGCCGTGGCCAGGATCTGAACATGGTCCAGCTCAGCCCAGACCTGGGGGTGCCCGTCCTGCAGCCCAGACACCCGGTCTGTGGCCACTGGCACTGAGGGTTGGACAGGCAGCATCCCCCCTCCCTCCAGTCCCTGCCATGGTGCTGCCCACACCCGATGCGACCCCTTTTCCCTGCACTGAGGAACCCCCTCCATGTCCCCAAGCCAGTCCTCACCCCCAGGCTCCCCCCTCAGCCCAGCATGGGGCCCAGGGGACCCCAGACCTGGAGCGGGACAGGGGAGACGGCTGCAAACCCGTGGCTCTTTCCATCCGTGCCCGGCTGGGCTGAGCCGCCCTGGCAGCGATGCTGGCATGGGTGGCCGTCCTCGCACGGCGCCAGGGCCACCCGCGCTCCACGTGCTCGGCTGGGGCTTCCTCAGCATCCTGGGGACCCGGTGGTCCCACACGCAGGTGGGCATGGAGAGGTCGGGATTTGCCCCTTGCTCCCCTCCACCGGCTGCTCTCTGCCCAGCAGAGATGTCCCCGGCGGGGGACAGAGACCAGGAGCGGCTCCCCAGGCCCCGCGGCAGGATGGTGGCTCTGCGGGGTGACAGCACCCATGGGCGCCGCAGCTGCAGGTTCCCACCAGTGGCTTCATCCCACAAACCCGCCACCACCCACCACCCTAGCCCACTGCCACCCTACCTGCAAGCCAGGGCCTGGCCGCATCCTTCCCCTGCTCGTGAGCTGCCTGCGAGGTGCAGGAAAGCAGACGTGGAGCATCAGTCCCTGCATGCCATTGACCTGGCGAGCAGCAGGGTCCGGCGGTGACTCGCGTGCCACCGTCCCACCACGAGGACATGGCGTCAGGACCAACCCGGGGCGCCCAGTGCAGGTGGTGGGATCCTGCTCCATCACCCCACCAGCGAGCGCCGAGCCCACCCTGCCTGCCCCCGAGGACTCATTCCCCGGGCATCCCCGGTGCCCGCCGTGCCGGGGGCTATTTCAGGGTGAGAGCTGGTCCTGGGGGAGTGCCAGGCCCCGGCACAGGCCGGGTGGAGCGGGGTCCCAGGCTTCGCCCCCGTCCGTTATCAACTGGGAACAGTTCTCACAAAACAGAAGCTGCGTCGTGATAACCTGGCGGGTCTGAGGCATCCGGAGAGGCAGGAAGGAGCCCAGCAGAAGGAAATATTAAATAGAGCAATATAAACACGGTGGCGGGAGCGAGCTCCGCCCCGGCGTGGCCCCGTTGAAAGGGCCTGCTGCGGGGTGGGGTGTGCAGAGCATCGGCAGGATGGAGAAGAGCAGCTACGCCATGGCCAAGTTTGGTCTGGAGGCCAAGGAAGCGATGCCCAAGCGGGACTGTGGGTTTTACGTGAAGTACATCTTCCTCTTCACCTCCCTCATCCAATTCCTCATCATCCTGGGGCTGGTGCTGTTCATGGTGTACGGCAACGCGCAGGCAGGCACCGACACGCACCTCCGGCTGCTGGAGGAGCAGCTGCAGGATCGCTACAACAAGATCATCACCCTCAGCGGGAGGAACATCAACCTGACGCGCACCCTCAACGCCACCCTCAAGGAGAAGCAAGGGCTGCAGGCCCTCGCCCAGAAGGTGCAACGGGACCTGGATAAGTGCAATAGCACCCAGGCTCCCAACTCCATCCCCAAGGTGAGCCCCCCTCCCTGGGGAGGGAAGGCAAAGCCCCCCGGGTACTGGGGGCAGCAACCCACCCATGGGTGCTGGGGGCCGCGAGGAGCCGGGACCTCGCTTCAGCCCCGCAAGATTCAGCAGGGACGGACGAGAGGGTGCGGGGGGGCAGAGCCCGCTGGCGACGCTGACGTGCCCCCGCCAGCCCCAGGGGTGCTCTCAGCCTTGGCATCCCACAGGCAGTCGCTGGCCGAGGGGGTTCCAATCTCGCAGCCCCCCCCTCCTCATCCTCCCCAACCCCCTGCCCTCGCCGGCCCCCCGCGCCCCCCCCCCCCCCCACGGGG